TTGAATTCAAGGTTCCTTAGGGAAGTAGGACCCAGGGGCCTAGTCTGAGAATATTTCCTCTGCCGGGAATGTCCATGTCCTCCTCTTCTCTCTTGCCACCCTCTCCCTCTTTTATTGCTGGCTACTTTCTGCTCTACCTGTAGGGTTTAGCTTAGGAGTTACTTCCAATAGGAAGATTTTTTTTCTGGAATCCTGCCCTCCCAACCCAGTCTGGTCTGATGAATGTCTACCGTGTATTTATCCATGTGTCTTCCCCAGAGGATGTAAGACATCCTAACACAGTGCTGGCACACATATGTGCAGCCTTTCTGGCACAATGCTGTGGAGTCTTGTGCAGGACAGATAAAGCAGAGAGAGGGAGAGACGTGAGAACACTGAGCATCTCATCATTCTCTGGGCTCTGACCCACAGGCCATTTCCTTGTTCCTTCTCAGTCCCCTGATTTAGAGGTGAGGAACCAGAGTTCCTAAGTAGATTGTCCAAGGACAATATGAATGTATATTACTTTAAATTTGTTATCTATAGCATTAGTGTAGTTAGTGACAGTCCACTTACTCTTTCGAGGCCTCAGTTTCTTTTCTGGACAACGAGGAGTTTCATTTAAATGATCTCCATATTTGCTCCTATTTCTTCATAAAATTGTACAGTCTGTCAGATAGCTGAGAGAGGATTATGACGTGTGTGATTATAGCATATGTGTGATTGTGGCATAAGTGTGACAGTGTTGATCCCGTACAGACAGGCAGTTCTAGGGTTTTTGATCACACTGTCTTGTACATACTACTGCAGTTTCTTAGTGAGTTAATTTGTTGATTTAAAAAAAAATACAATGTGTTTCTTATTCAGCTATATCAGTGGTTCTCAGCTGGGGACATTTTGCTCCCCAGGGGACATTTGGCATTCTGGAGACATTTTTGTTTGTCGCAACTGGGGGATGCTATGTATATTTGGTGGGTAGAGGCCAGGGATGCTACTAAGCTTGCTACGGTGTACAGAACTGCCCCATACACACGGTGAAGAATTTTCAGCCTAAAATGCCAATAGTGCTGACGTTGAGAGACAGAGCTTACTCTTATGTTTGTTAGCATTTCTCATGTGACCTTTTTAATTTGATAAATACTATATATGTGTCAATCAGTTATTCAGGTTTAAAGGGAGGGATCCATTTGATGGCCCTCCTTACAAAGAGAGCAGTTAAACAATAATACTAAATACATAATCACCCTGGGTAAACACAGTTACTTCAATCAACCATGTGGCTGAATGGGATTAGACTAGACTAGACCTCACATGCTCCATGTCACTTCTTTATTTTTTTAATCATTGAGAAGCAGTAGTCTTTTAGTCTAGAAATGGAGTAGAGCTTCTCGCCATCACTGTAATTCTGGATCCACAGCAGCAAGCATTATGCACAGTCACCCCAAATCACAATGGCAATGAGAGTGGCAGAGCAGATGAGATTCAAAGGTGCTTGGCAGAGCAGTTGTAGGGACCAGCTTCCCATGGTAGTATAGTGTGGGAGGCAGCCCAGAGGGAGGCAGTGCAGTTGAACCCCAGTGTCTGAGTTCACATCTGCCCTCCTCCTCTGTTGGTTATCTTGATAAGTCTTGGTTCTCCTGCCTCAGAATGGGAGCAAGAATAGAATGGAGGCAGTGCAGTTGAACCCCAGTGTCTGAGTTCACATCTGCCCTCCTTCTCTGTTGGTTATCTTGATAAGTCTTGGTTCTCCTGCCTCAGAATGGGAGCAAGAATAGAATTTTCTTTATAGAGTTGCTGTGAGAGAGAAGATACATGTATAAAGTGCTTAACACAGTGTCTGGCACATAGGAAGTGTTTGGCAAATGTTGCTGTGAACATCATCCAAATCAACAGTGTCATCCCTGCCTCATTCTTCTTGACTTAGATGACCAAACCCAGACACACTCAGTGTCAGCACTCGCTGGTGTGCCCACAGTCCTTTGCTCAGAATGGTTCCAAAGGGTTTCTTTACTGTGACAAGACGTTTCAAGTTCTGTGGCCTGCTTTCTACATATCAAATTGCTTGGCTAAAAAGTAGCTGACATTATAGAACAATTTAGGATATGTACTTTTCCATTCTTTTAGTCTTTGTTTGCCTTTGTATATCACATGTTCCTTGTTGATCTCCTGATGTACCAAGGGATTTTTTCTTTCTTTTTGAGGATTTATTGGGGAAAAAAAATTGATTTACATGAGATACCCTCCCTTCCCCACACTTCCATTGGTTTTCTGTTTTAAATTTCATCCATAATGTTACGGTAAAATTTATTCTGCTTGGGGCAAAATAGTTAAGATTGTAGGAAACGACAAATTTCCACCTCTGCTTGTAATTTTAAGGATATTGTTTGGTTTTGGTTATTATCATTAGAGGCTTTTTATCTTGTTGAATTTGATACATCTGATACTGTGCCTTAGTCACAAAGAAGAGCTACTTCAGAATTACATGTGACCGTGAGCTTGAATAGGTGTATACAGCTGCTCCCCCTTGTGGAAGGGTTGAGAGGTGTGAAGCTTGTGTTAAGTTCACAGCACCATTGTATTTTGTGACAATCTATCAGCATTCCTGAGGAGCACAACTAAAGCTTTAGATCCAGAACTTTATGACACATCAAACGCTGATGATGATGATATAATATAACATAGCATAGCATAGCATAGCATAGCATAGCATAGCATAGCATA